ATCGTAGTTAGAGGATATACTTACAATGCCGTCTGTCTGTCCTGGATCGGTACCATTCCAGAGGTCGTACATTGGACTTAGCCGTGCTCCTGTGTTCAATTCTAGCGGTAGCGTTCAGAACACCAACGTGGAGGAGCTGGCTCAGAACACACTTACCAATCTGGAAACCTAGGATAGCCTCGTAAATTTTCCACGCATGGCTGCCCACTATATACGCGTTCCCTTGCTCATCCCAGAATGGGGAAGTGTCATATCCCTCGAACTCAAAGTACACGGCGTCCGACCAAAGGCTGGAGTCATACGGGTTGACAGTGTTGAATATAGTCTACGGGTTAACAAAGGTGAGTTATCAGTTGGAAGCGGTCATAACGGATTAATCTCACGTTGAACCAACGAGATGTATCGTTCGCTGTTCTGTTGTCGTACACTAGAGTGGTGACGAGGAAGAACGTATCATCATGATATCGAATGGTTGGAGCCCAGATACCACTCGTGGAGCCGTTCGTAGTAGCCAAGCCGGGGAGCTCTAATAGGGATCAAAATCATCAGTGTCTCCAGGGCTAGCAAAATTTCGGGGCTTTTACGCACGGAAATCGCGTGTCAATACGTTCCCAATCTGCTTAAAATTTTGGAGGTCCTTTGACGCGAATATGGGAATCCCAGGGGCAGCGTTAAACGAGCTGGTAGCACAAAAAAAGGTATCATTCCATTCCGGCACAAAAGTGCATGATGGATCGGGGTGGAAGCCTGGGAGAATCGGGTTTCGGTAAACCTTGGCATAAGTGGTGATCGGCGCAATGGCCGTGAGCCAAGAAGCCAACGCCAAGACACTCAGCATCGCGTCAGGAACGTTTCACTGGCGGTAGCGAGCTGGGGGTCCTAGCGCGAGGCTTAGGAAGACATCTGGCGGCTATATATCCACCCCAGCATCTCACCACAAGAAGGGTGAATCAGTGAACTAGTTCGTGACGTATGGCGTAGTCGACATGGGAACTCTCACCTGCCCATTCTTCTCATCACACCATCCATCCTGACCCCACCAACAAAATGAAGCAGCGGGCCGGCGGCCCGAGACAACTAGTCTCGCCTAAGTGTCAAGACAAGGAAGCACATCACTCCAGGTAGCGCCGGGATCAGACGGGACGAAGAATTCATCATCATTGTGTCTAGAAATACAGATGAAATGAGGGGTATCTTGGGCACAAATACAATGTGGGAGCGATTCAGGCAGAATGTCGGGGATGCGATGCAGGGGTGGGCAAAATTAGAAGTAAACCCGTTGTGCGGGTGTGGTAGATTCAACTGGGCAATACGGGCACTTGACGCGGCTGATTTAAAGACTCCAACAATGAATACATGTCAGAACATGAAAGCGGAGGAGGTTGCTTACGTTCCATTCTTCATCAGCTTCTGTACGCTGTCTTTGTTTAGGACATGTCCGCACGACAACATCATCGGTGGATTCATTTCGGTCGCTTGCTCCTTTGAGACAGGACAGGCGAATATCGAGTGATAACGATTCTCAGGGGGCACAGGGATTTCGACCTATATAATGCATAGTGAGCATACACGTATTAGATAGGTTCGGAAAGAGGCGTACTGGTAGTTCATCTTCCGCCGTCCATTCTGTCTTCTTCTCGAACATGACCCGTTTCCCTTTCTCAATCTTCTGAAGTGCACCACCACCTCCAAGATCTCCCACCACTCTCAGCGGAAGCTGTCTGCTCAGCTTGAGTCGCGCACAGTATTCTCTCGAGAATTCGGACTCGAGACCCGCGTGAAGCTCGTCGTTCAGGAGGTCGGCATAGGGGGAGGTGAGTAACCTTGATAGAGGCAAAAACGCAGGAGCAGCCATCAAGCGAAGGAGCTCAGGCGTGTGATGCCCATACAAGGAAGGAAAGTATCTTCGGGCATAAGCGAGCGCAGGCCCTGCATTTGTGCTTTGAGTGAGAATCTGGATGTACTTGGATCGATGTAGGTTGAACTCTAGAGTCGATCGGCGTTCTTCCAACCATTTAGTATTGACTTGACACCACCTTGAATTGAGGGTCAGTAATAAGCTTAACCAATGATGATTCCCCCTTACTTGAGTGCTGGATCTAGATCTGAGGTTCGTAGGGAGGTAATGATAGCATTGAGGTCGTTGAACTGTGCGATGTTGTGAGGGCCGAGATCGACACCGGCTTCCTAAATATGAGGGAAATTAAGATCGTCCCATTTGTAAAAATGACCTGAAAGCATACATTGATAAACGTTTCCGCTACATCATAGGATCCAGTTCGAAGTAGATGCATAGCAATGACACGGTTGAGGGCTGCTGTGTTGCTTGGAGACTGGAACAGAGGACCATAATTCGGTAAGGGCTCGGGGAATTTCTGCAACACCAGGAAAAATATTCGTCTCAGTATAAATCAATTCAAGCAACGCTACACCTTACCTTGTCCAGACCCTTACCAATCCTGTTGAGAGCATTGTAGATCTCCTTCTGACGTTCTTCAATTTGCGTTTTGGATGTCTCAATTGATGACGACACAATCGAAGCTACATCTGCGACAGTTTTGTTCCCAGATTCCAGCTGCTGTTTCGCATCAAGCAGCGAAGCAAGGAGAACATCTAGAGACGATTGGACCGAGACAGTCTGTGCTTTTGACTTGGAGGTGGAAGCTCTCTTCGCGGAAGCCGTCGATCCAAAGTAGAGCCCTTCAAGCTTGTCGATATCTTTGAATATTGGGTCATAGTCGCTTGCCTTGCTCGTTCCTGCCATCGTTGGTGGGACACCGAGGCAACTCATAACACGACCAAACAAAGGCCCAAACTTTACCTCGGCCACTTTTCTACATTTCGACTCAGCTAGAGTCCTTATGCGCTTCTTCATCGGCGACGAAAATGGCTTCCTGAAATCTTTGCGTGCCGATCTGCCCCCACCAGGCTCAGATACGACTTCTAACACCCCAGAGCCTGTCATTTTGCTGAAACCCACAGCAGAGGCGGGGAAATCGAGTGCCATAAATCGACTGGCAATAAGGAAAATACATGAAGGGGAACTTGAGTGAATTTTTCTCGTTAAATATAGGTCTTTGCTTGGTCTGACGCTTGGTTTTCGTACCTTTTGGTGAGCTCGCTGTTGCACAAGCTTCTGGGGCGGTGGCCCTGCATACAGTATCAGACAAAGATGAAATCGAAACAATAAAAGAGTGGAAAGAGCCCAGGATGAAAGCATCTGCTTCCTATATAGGACTTGGCCTAGCTGAGAGGTAAGTTGCACTTTACACAGCACGCACCTACCTGGCTAAGAAGAATTTATCGCTGTCTTTTAGTGGGGTGTACACATGCACGACATCTGGAAATCTACGCATGACTCCGCGATCTACCTCAGACTCGATTAAGGCGACGCTTCCGATGCGACTTTGTGACTTCCAGCTCAGCCCAAACGAGAAGTTTTTCGCGTACGGCGGAGACGAAGTCGACCTGTCTGTCTGGGATGCGGAGGCTGCTCTATCTGCACCTGCACCAGTCTCAGCTGTCGGGGATGCCGCTGGAGAATCCAAAAAGCGGAAGAAGCCTAGCTCGAACGATTTACTTCCTGGCGAAGTCTGGCGAGCAAAGAATGCAAGTCCCTCTTCTTGTGTGCCAGCCCTCCGTTTGAGCATCGTGCTGAACTAGACCCAACCGCAGTTGCCGAATGATAATCTCCAGCTGCGCCAACCGGTCCATGTGTCATCGCTCGCGTTCCTCGATCGCTCGAGTACCGACAAAGGTCCATCACATCATCTTATCACCGGCTCACGCCTCGGGCATGTAAGACGATACGATACACGTGCTGCACGGCGACCCGTAGCCAACTGGACGCAGTTCAAGAGTGTGCAGAAAGTACAAAGAGGGTGCTCGGAGCAGTGAGTGTGAACCACCAGGCCATCTTCTTGGCAACGGCGTTTTACCCTTGCTTACATCAATATTACTCCCCACCCATATTAGTGAGATCCTCGTATCAGACACACAGTCGGGCTTGTACTCAGTCGACACCCGAACAGGCAAAATCATGACGGGCTACAAGGGTTGGTCAACACCCTCCTACCATCCCTCCCTCTGAACGTACCATCAGTCGCTGACTCAATCTTGCTCTTACTTCTCGTGAACATTACATCTTTCTCTCTTTAGGTATATCCGGCGCGATCAACTCTTTCGCGCCTATCCAATCAACGTCCCTCAACTCTGGCTCATGTTTTGCATCTGTTGCCCTCGATCGTTTTTTCCGACTACATCTCGCCTACCCCTTCCCTGCGTCGCCCTCCGACAAGCCTGTAGTCGAAAAAAGAAGCGATAATGACAAGACGCCTCTCAAGATTTTTGTGAAGAGTACGCCAACGGCTGTAGTTTGGGACGGGGTAGCCAGCAGTATAGGTGAAGGGGAACATCGTTTCGGAGCTAATGATGGAGGCGATGACGATAGCGAAGATGATGGTGACGAGAGCGAAGAGGAGGACGAAGACTGGGATGGCATGGATGTTGTCAACGAAGATGGAGAGGACGAAGAGGAGGACGAGGATAGCGCCGATGAGGACGAAGATGAAGAACCCGCCCCTGTGCGCCGGAAAAGATCGCAACCCTTTGTATAATCCAATGCGTTGTATATGAAACGGCTATCAAGGAGGGATATTTTGCCACTAGTTCTATGACTGCCACACTGGCGCAATTACCAAGCCCTTTCTCAGGACCGTAGATTTCGTTCCAGCTCTCGAACTACTCGCACAAAGGAAAACAAGACCTACTGCTATACTAGGAATATAGGCCATCGACTAAATGTGGGCTTGCAATGGGTACTGTTTAGATCCATGGCCTGAATGAATGTAAACAGATGACATCAGCCTCCTCGCCCATCCGCAATTATAATCAACACTAACAGCTCTCTAAGCTTGATATTCTATTTACTCTTGCGTGAAAGGACCAAGTACATTACCACAACAATCATTATAGCCAAATGGATGCATTTCATCATCAATTCCTCAATCGTCTAACGGCTATGATGCAGCTCTCTCATTTGGAGTGTTTCTCTGTCAGGTCCCCTTGATGGAAAAGCGTTCCAAGGGTCCAGCTGAGGCCAGGGTTCGACTCCCTGTTGGGGAACATTTTTGCGTAGTTTTTCCCGCCCTGGGAGAGACGGGGTTTCTCGCCAAAGCTTTTTTGGACGTTGTCGCACCGCTACATGCAGTTTTCTTCATTTACTTCGTCAAGTGCCACTTCATATCTGATTTTCTTTCTCTTTTTATCTTTTCCGTTTGTTCTCTTTCATCTGAGTGCTAGTCTCCAGCGCTAGATTTGTGGCAGTCTCTAGAGATGTATGCGTTGCCATGTTCTGATAATGCGACGTATGCAGCATAACACTATATAGAATATTGACTTCATGCATGGCATTTTAGAATACCCAGATATAATGGAACAGTCCTGCACGAGAATTGCGCTAAAGCTGTTGCATGTTTGCGGATCTGGTTCTTGATCAAGGCAATACATTTTGAATGGCTGTATCTCGTGGGAAAGCAAGGTGTTCCCTTTCCGCCGCCGAAGCGCAGTGCCACTGCGTCGCCGAGCCCAACAAATGGCGCAGCCCACCCGCATCCACCACTCGCCAGAACTTTCTACTCTTGCGCTTGCCTCCAGTCCAAGTGACGCGTCATCTGGGTTTTCTGTTGGTACTCTTATTATATTGTCGAGTCATCCGTTCACGCGTCGATCGCTCACTGGGCCCTCTCGCACCTTGTGCTCCTTCTTCATGGCTGCACTTCAGGACATGGTTGAGATTAAGCAGGACTCTCCTGCAATGATGACATCCGATGGTGAAACCCATCGTGATCGGGACCCTCATGAACACTTTGAGGATAACAAACACCGCCTGCTCTACTCGTTAAGGAGTTATATCCACCCAACAGGTGCGTATGACTTGGAACATATGCTAGGTCATAACATGCCGGACTACTTTCTGATTATACTGGCCCCTCAGCATACTCTCGTGATAATATCCCTGGCTTTGTTGCCATCGTCAAGCGTGTGAGTTGACATGTCGTCACCGCCTTGGAGCAACTCTGACGACTCAGATCGCGACACATGCGTCAATCCTTGATATCCAGGAATCCATCAGCCCAACTTACCTCCTGTCCTGGATACCTGAAAGCCTCCTCGATGGTCGAGCGGACTTCAACAAGTTCATCAAAGCACAAAAGGGACCAAGGCCCCAAGACGCAGATGTTGAGGACGATGGTGAGAAGCCACCCCAGTGCATCACCCATCCCCGTCATGTTGATTTCTAATAAAACTTTAGACATGGTCTTGGTTGACGTGCCGTCCCCGCAGGGAGAGTACTACGCATTCTCTGTCGCAGTTACATCCATCTATTCCCTCACTGCCACACCACCCACCTTCTCATCATGGCGTGCGTTCCCATACATTGTACTTTATCGCACAACTATTGAACGCATTCTTCCTACAGACGGCTCAATATCCCTCAACCTCATCAATGGCTCCACCCTTCCGACCATCTACTTCCACGACGATGAATCTCGCTCCTTCCAAGCCGAACAACGCGCCTCCCCAAATGCGCCCTCCTGGGGCGGCGAGCTCCTACTCCAACGACTGCGCTCCTACGCTCACCTGCTGCGTTCCTCTCTCATGCCTAACCTCTTCCTTATCGACCCTAGTCGCGTCGACATTGAAGCGCACTCCACTCCTGTCTTCGACGACGCGGCTGTCGACGACATCTTTATGAAAAGCTCTGGCTCTTTTGGCCACCAAAGCTCACCTATACCGCCCATGAGACGGCCAGGTGCTGCCAGAGAAATGGAAAACACGACGCGCTATCCGCCTAGTGCACCCGTCAACGTCGCTGGCCCAAGCAGTAGCGGCGGGGCTTTGTCATCATCAGCAAAACGCACCTCTCTCCTCCACCAAACTCTTCCATCATCACATTCCTCGCGACCCTCGAGCTCTAATTCCCCAAGGAACGCTCTGCTGTCGTCGTTTGCCCAGCTCACCCAGGCGACGCGAACGGCCGCGCAAAATATCCTATCCCACCCACTCGCCAAGCCCATCGTCCCTCATTTGCCTGACCCTGTGCGAACATTTGTACATGCGCCTGGCGAGTGGGAGAGCTGGGTCAACAAGGGAGGTATGGGAGAGTTTGAGAGCGCAAGGATATATCTAGCGAAATGGGCGAGGGTACGTATAAATGATTCTTCCATGACGTTTGTGATATGTCATATGCTGATTCTCTGACTCGTATCTTTCTCTCCGCGACAGGTGGTGGCGGAGGAAGGGGAACGAGCGAGGCAAAATGAAGCTTTTGCGATCCCACACGGACCTGGGGAGGGCAAAGGTGTCGAGAAATCGGACCTCGGGGTGTTCGAGCTGATTGCTGTAAGTTCATCCACTCTCCGTTCAGCCTGGGTCTTCCCGCCTATTATGATGACCACGCTGGATCGGCTGAACATTGCTAACCGTTCTGGGTCCATCAGGCGAATGTGAATCTCCCGACCCCTAAGCCAACAAGAGATCCACACAGACCAGTCGATAATGCTACCTGGGACACTTGGTTCAATCCCGCGACAGGAGAGCCCACGATCTCCTTTGAACAGTTCCGCGGGGAGGTGTTCCGACGGGTGAGTTGTTGATACCTGAAGCCGCGGACTTTCGACAATTATTCATATTTGATTACAGGGCTTCCACCCTGCGACAAGGAGAAAAGCGTGGCCGTATTTGCTGGGTGTTCTTCCTTGGAACGCCAACAACGAAACGAGAGAGAGGGTCTTGAAGGAAAAACAGTCAGTTTCTTGCTAATAAATGTCGTGGAAGATGGGAAGAGAGGCAATCGTTTAACGTTCGCTCCTACGTTTTTATTCTTCGGGGCCAACAGGGAGAGTTATCGCCAGATCAGGCGTGAATGGGAAGAATCCCAAGAGGTCTTCAATCGCGAGGATGTCGCAGAGGTTCGTTTATCCATCTTGTTTCCTCGTCGAACTCGTCCTGCCGTGAAATACGTTATTCTCACGAATATGCACTCCTATTCGACCTACAACCCTATCTAGGAGCGCCATCGGATCGATGTCGACTGCCGACGAACAGACCGCACACAACCACTGTTCATGGTGCCGCCAGGTCCAGACGGGATGCCTCAGCCCCTGCAAGACGAAGACAGTGCACAAAGCCGGTCCAATGAGCATGTCGATAAGATGGCGCAGATCCTGCTGACATACAATTTCTATGAGAAAGAGCTGGGTATGTGGCGAGGCGAGCAAGAGTCTTCTTATGCTTGGGCCTTGGGGGTGGACAACCTCTATGAATGATATGCAAGGAACTGATGCATGGTTTTTTCTTTGTGGCTGATAGGTTATGTGCAGGGCATGTCGGACTTGTGTGCTCCACTCTACGTTGTTTGCGGCGGGGACGAGACACTCACTTTTTGGTGCTTTGTGTCTGTTATGGATCGCATGGTATGTCCCTTCTTCCTTGTCCTAAGCTGGTACTACTTGTCACGCTGATCACAATAATGTCGCATTCACTTCCCTTGGAAACAGAAAACCAACTTCCTCCGTGATCAGTCGGGGATGAAGAAACAGCTCTCCACCCTTCAGCAGCTCCTCACTGTGATGGATCCAGAGCTCTACCGACACTTCGAGAAAACGGAGTCTCTGAATCTGTTCTTCTGCTTCCGCTGGGTGCTCATTGCCTTCAAGAGGGAGTTTCCATTCGATGAGGTGCTGCGGCTTTGGGAGGTCAGTCATCGACTGCGCTAAATATGCAATAGCCCGAGAAACTCACTGACGGCCCTATTTTGTCCTAACTGCGGCATACACGTACAGGTGTTGTGGACTGACTATTACTCCACTCGTTTCGTGCTATTTGTGGCTCTCGCCGTGCTTGTCTCGCATCGTGATGTCATACTGCGCTATCTTGTTGAGGTGCGTGTTTTCATAATGAGTCTTGAACTTCCTTATGGATAACTGACGTACATATGGCCAACTCTACTTCCCCGTGCAGTTCGACGAAGTCCTAAAATACTGCAACGAGCTCAGTATGACAATCGAACTCGACTCCACCCTCGCCCAAGCCGAGGTCCTTTTCCTTTCGTTTACTCAGATCGTTGCTGATATCGATCGGCGAAAGGCGGAGCGCGAGGCGGAGGCGCCGGGCGGGGAGGGGCTGAGGCGGAGATATGGAGCAGGAAAGGCTTCCACATCTACAACTCCACCCAGCTCCAGCACACCCTCATCTCCGACAAGCCCGTCGTCCTCAGAAGCATTGAAGAATATCGAGATGCCAGAGATTGGAGAGTACTTGAGGGAGCTACTCATTTCTGGAAGCACAAATAGCGCCAGCAAGGCATGATTAGCCGCAGAATTTGTTCACCATAGTTTAGATCAGCCGGATAGCTTTCATCAGATATCATTCGTTTTGCACTATTGTCTTGTTTTCTGCAATGTACAGGCATACATAAACATGATGTGTACGAGTACGATGAGTCCCTTTGTATGAACGTATACATTTCCCTATCTTTGATTGACGTATGGTGGAAAATATCTTGAGAGACGTAAGCCCATTGGTGGTCTCTCATTAGCACCCTTGAATAATACGCAAGGCTATCAACCATCGATAGCGGTCGAATTACCCTACTGCCCCACCTCGCTGGCCTGACGAGAGCGATTCAGAGTATTCCTCGGCAGGCATTGGCCGTCTCCGGCTGGGCGCATACAAGACAGATGACTTCGAAGGTGTGGATATGAGCTGTGCCATTGGCTTACGTGAAAGGAGGTACGTGAGGGTCCTGGAATCGATGCCATTATCTCCCTCACTCAATGGTCGAGCGGAGGATGGGGGGCTTTGCTTGCGCGTTGAAACCGGGACAGAGGGCAAGGCTGGTAGCTGTGTCCCTACATGCGGTGACGAAGAGCCCCTCATTAGGGGGATCGTTGGTATGCGTGGTGGGTAGGGAGCAGCGATAGCTCTCCGGGATGAAGCACTCGTATGTTTGCTGTCGTTATCGGGATTCCTTGAAGTAGGTGGATGTGAACGGTTAGAGTGGCTTGTAGAAGAGGACATGGACGGGGCCCTGCTTCTGCATTGTGATCGGGATGTCGCCG